CTTCGTCAGCACAGCTAAGGTTCGCTGGCCTAAATTTGTTACACAATATTTAGTTACTGTATGTTATTGATAGAACAGCCGGAATCCTCTTCCGCCTAACCTTCACATTTTTTATGAATATTCAGTAAAAGACAAACCTTCAGGATCTACTTCGCGTGCTATTTTTATAGGTTCAGAAGTAGCAAAGTCTTGATTTGCGGGAGTTACAGCTAGAATGATTGAAGAGGGGTTGGAGATGTACGACAACAACATCTCTCGAATTTGCTCCTATATAAAGAAAGAGCGAGATTGTAAAAACTTGCGACCAACCAAAGTCAACTTTACCTCAATGTTAGCTGGTTGGTCTCCAACGGGAATCTTTGTAATTCCAGGCAGATCAACCAGTGACAAGTTTACTACATTTTTCGAATATATTCTGAGTATTATAGGTATAGGAGAGATACCCTAAAATCAATGAAATGAAGAAGAAAGGGATGTCGAAGAAGTAACACTGGAAAAGAGTAACCTTATTGGAACCAGTAAGTCTATCAGTTTCGGTTTCAATCTCCTTTCGAACCTCCCCAAAGTCAGTGAAAATCTTTCCGCCTGTGTGCTCAAACATCGCCCAGTCCTCAGTGAGCAACGTCCCTGAACAAACTGCGGATATGTGCATGACCATGAATTGTTACAACATAACTTATAAAAACTAACCATCGGGTTTTCTTCGTCGGATTTCATCATCAGGTGGCACATGCGATAAATGAAGAATGAGAGGCCTTCTCGTCACAATACCCGTCCCACGAGGTAAGAAATCACGACCGACAATGTTCTCCAATACTGAACTTTTCCCAGCACTCTAAAAACCGGTTTGGACACATATCGCCAAGCAGAGCATGCTATACCATGATAGCTGTATTTGCTAGGTAAAATTATTTAACCGAATCGATAAACTCAGCCATTCAAGCAAGATAATCAAGTATCAAAAATTATTCGGTGCGGCGTGCTCGAAATTCTCATAGTCAAATTAACCCAATCGATTGCTCGAATTGGTCCTCGAGCTGATGTAGTGTTTAATGCAAAATGGTACAAGTGGATGGCAGTAAAAATCACATATTCAATCCCAAGCATGATATCTTCAATGGAACAGTATAAAAATCGTGAAAGTAAGTTGAAAGAGTAGTGAAATAGTTTTTGAATAAAATATAAACATAACCTAATTTTCCCATAGTTTTGGGCCTAGAGCAGATTTTCTCTTGTATTACTCAAAAATCAAAATCTTGCATAACTCAAAAAAGTTTGCTCATACTTCAAGATCGGCTCATTTTTGAGGTATTTTTCATTTCTTTGAGACGTTGTTCAATTTGAAAGCGCTTAGCAGATCCGGTTTATCTCGTCACTGAACATAAGTTTCTATCGTGAAGCAAGAGAAATATTCATGCTGAACGGCAAACAAAAGCAAGTGGAACTGATAGCGAACGTATATTAAGCTAGGTGCTAACACAGAAATGAGGCTATCACATATGTGCATCGATGCAGAGGGGTTCCTAACTAT